GCTTTTCAATTTCTACATAAAGGCCTGCAATGATTTGCATTAGAATATGTTGAATCAGTAGATTAATTTTGGTAGAATTGACCTCTTAAAATCTTGAGTCTGGCAACCTATGAACAAAATATATTTTTCCATTTATTTTTTTAGATCTTTTAATATTTTTTCAGCCAAGTTTGTGGTTTTCACTTAGGTCTTTAAATTCTTTGGTCAGCTTTTCTTCTGTATATTTTATATTTTAATATTACTTTTAGTGCTGTTATTCTTTTTAATTGATTAACTTTTATGTATTTTTTTAGTTGTAGGTGGACACAATACTTTTATTTTTTTATGTGGTGCTGAGGATCGAACCAGTGCCTCACGTGTGCCAGGCAAGCACTCTACCACTGAGCCATAGCCCCAGACCCTAGTGCTGTTATTTTTTAATTTCAATTTCCATTTGTTCATTTGCATTAGTCATGCTTCTTATTTTGTATATTTCATGATACTTCAACATCTTAGGGCCTTGTAAATGTGTGAATTGACTGCCCCTCCCAGGATTAGCTTATTCCTAGAGATAGCAAACAACTTGCCTGCGCGATGCCTTTGATGGGCAAACCAACCACATCCAGGTATATTCATTCCCCTGTGAGTCAGAACCACTATCCCCCTGGCGTCAATAATGACAGGGCCATATACCACACGGGGAAGGCCCATCCCTATATCCTAGAGCCCACCAAAATTAGTCATACTGTCCAATCCTAAATTTGCTAAGCTTGTCCACTGCCTTACACATTCCTTCCTGTGGAAACACTGTGAAGACCCTGGCCCCATGCTTTCTCCTTGTTCCTTCTTTCTGACCGACCTAGAGCACACTGTGTGGCCTTATGTGGTGTGGCATGTTGTGGCCCCTCCTCTTGGGAACTGTGAGTAGTGAACCATTTTTTTGTACTTTCATTGAACATGTTTTTCAATGAGAGGATTTCTGTGAAATTCATTTTATGGTGATGGGAATTAAACTTGTGCATGCTACACAAGTGCCCTACCACTAAGCTCCACCCTCAATCCATTGGATTTTCTTTTCTTTTTTAATACTAATGTTTTGCAAGAAATGTGGATTTGTTTTAAAATATATATATTTTTTTAGTTGTCAGTGGACTTTATTTTATTTATTTATATGTGATGCTGAGAATTGAACCCAGTGCCTCATACATGGTAGCCAAGCACTCTGCCTCTGAGCCACAATCTCAGCCCCCATTTGATTTTCTAAATACACAATCATATCATCTGTGAATACAATTGTCTTCTTTTTTAACATGGGTATCTTGTATTTGTTCTTCTGGCCTTCCTGCACCAGCTATAATTTTCAGTACAATGTTGGATAGATGAAGTTGGAGTGAATCTTTCAGTGTTATTCCTGATCTTACTGCAGAAAGAAATTTTCACCATTAAGTGGGCTATTAGGCTTAGATTTTTTTTTTTTTAATGTAATTGCTCTTAACAAGCTGTGAAAGTTGTTTCTACCTTCTGTTTCTATTTTGTTGAAAGTTTTTGTTGTTGTTTGTTTTGATTTTAAGCAAGAACAGATGTGGGATTTTGTCACGCCTTTCTCTGTATCTGTTGAGATAGAAGATATGAGGTTTTTCTCTTTTTAGTTTGTCCGTGTGATGTATAACTTGATTTCAAATGTTCAACTAACATTGCATTCCTGGGATAAACCCCAATTAGTCGTGATTTTTTGTCCTTTTTGTATGTTGTAGGATTTGATTTACCAGTGTTTTGGTTAGAAATTTTGCATTTATGTTCATGATGGATATTGGTTTGTAGTCTGTCTGTCTGTTTTTTGTATTAGGATAATACTGGTCTTGTGGAATAACTTAAGAAGTAATTCCCTTCTCTTCAATTTGCTGGAAGAGTTTTGTCTTGAATTGGTAGTGTTTTTCCATTAAACGTCTTGTTGAATTCATCAGTGAAGCCATCTGGGGCTGGAGTTTTCTTTGTGGGGAGGATTTTAAGGAAATTTCAATTTCTTTAATAGATTCAGAACTAGTCAGACTATTTCTTCTTGAATGTTCCTTGGTAGTTTGTGTCTTTTGAGGAATTGCCTCTTTATTTTTTACTTTTTAGAATTTCTTTCTATAAATAATACAAATACAGCTTTTTAATATGATGATGCCACAGCCCGGCTGGCTGGGCAAAATAACTGGGGTGTGGGGGGGTGACAAATAACTTGTGTACATTGATACAGCAGGAGTGGAAGCCGTTTATTGTAGGACAGGAATGGTATTTATACATTTCACACAGCTTATCTAATTAACATAAACTAGATACATCAGTCAACCAATAAGGAATCTCCACACTTAGTGGCTTGCTGGTGTTACTTCACAAACCACTCCCTCTGGCATTTTGCCAGGCGCCATCCAGACTTGTTTACAGACTCTAACATTTGCTAGGCGCCATCCTGACTTGTTTACAGATTCTAACATGATGACATCCTACTTACTGATTTACGGTTTTGTATCTGGGGCTTTAGGGGTCTTGTTGAGGAAGCTGGTGCCTGCATCTATATGATGAAGTGTTGACTCTGTGGTTTCTTCTAGCAGTTGCAAATTTCTTGATCTAATTTTCCTCAGTTTTTGATCTTTTGAGTTTTGTGCTGGTGAGAGATGGAGTCTAATTTCATTTTTCCACATATAACTATCCAGTTTTCCCAAACCATTTGTTAAAAAGGCTCTTCAGTGTGTATTTTTGGTTCCTTTGTTAAGTATCAGATGGCTGCCATGTATGTGGGTTTGTCTCTGTCTTCCATTCCATTGGTTTTCATGTCTATTTGGATGCCAATACCAGGCTGTTTTTGTTACCATAGCTCTCTAGTATAACTTGAGATCAGGTGTCTTCATGTCTTCTGCCTTACTCTTATCTCTTAGAATTGCTTTGGCTATTCTGAGTCTCTTATTCTTTTAAATGAATTTAAGGACTTTTTTTTTTTTCTAGTTCTGTGAAGAATGTCAGAGGTGTTTCATGAGGATTGCATTGAATCCATATATTGCTTTTGGTAGTATGGGCCATTTTGACAATATTAATTCTGTCTATCCAAGAGCATGGGAGTTCTTTTTATCTTCTAAGTTCTTCTTAAATTTCTTTCTTTAGTGTCTACTATTTTCATTGTAGAGATCTTTTACCTCCTTGATTAGATTAATTCCTAAGTATTTTATTTTGTTATTTTTTTGAGGTTATTGTGAAAGGGAGGGTTTTCCTGATTTCTTTCTTTGCATAATTTGTTGGAGTATAGGAAGCCTGATGATTTATGAGTGTTGATCTTATATCCTGCTACTTTGCTGAATTCATTTATCAGCTCTAGATGTCTTATAGTGGAGTTTTTTTGAGTCTTTTCCATAAAGGATCATGTCATTTGTAACTTTTTAATCTCTTTCTCTTGTCTGATTGCTCTGGTTAGAGTTTTGAGAATTATGTTGAATAGTAGTTGTCTTGGTCCTGATTTTCAAGGCAGTTCTTTCAGTTTTTCTCCATTCAGTATGATTTTGACTTTGGATTTGTCATACATAGCTTTTATAATGTTGAAGTAAGTTATATTTCACCCTAGTGTGTCTAGCATTTTTAACATGAATGGGTGCTGGATTTTAGCAAAGGCCTTTTCTGCATCTGTTGAGGTCATCATATGATTATTGTCCTCAATTCTATTTACGTGGTGAATTACATTTATTGATCTGTGTGTGTTGAACCAACCTTGCATCCCTGGGATGAAACCCACTTGTTCATGGTGTATTATCTTCTTGGTGTGTTTCTGAATACTGTTGGCTAATATTTTGCTAAGGATTTCTGTATCTGAGTTCATCAGGAATATAGATTCATCTGGGTTTTCTTTCCTTGATGTGTCTTTTACTGGTTTTGGCATCAGAGTTATATTGGCTTCATAGAATATATTTGGAAGTGTTCTCTCCCTTTCAATTTAATGGAGTAATTTGAGAAAGTGTGTTGTTCTTCTTTAAAGACCTGGTAGAACTCAGCTGAGAATCCATGTTTCTAGACTTTTCTTTGTTGGAAGACTTTTAATTGCTGTTTCAATTTCATTACTTGATATTGGCCTGTTTAGGTTTTCTATATCTCCCTGATTCAATATATGTGCAGGTCATATATATCTAATTGTTTGTCAGTATCTTCTAGATTTTCCAGTTTATTGGAGTATAGATTTTCAAAATTGTTCTTTTTAAAAATATTTATATTTTAGTTGTAGTTGGACGTAATACCTTTATTTTATTTATTTTTATGTGGTGCTGAGGATTGAACCCAGGGCCTTGCTTGTGCTAGGAGTGCACTCTACCGCTGAGCCACAACCCCAGCCCCCCAAAACATTTTTAAAAAATGTTTTTGTAGTTGTAGATGGACAGAATGCCTTTATTTATTTGTTTATTTTTATGTGGTGCTAAGGATCGACTAGTGCCTCACAACATGCTAGGCAAGCGCTTTGCCACTGGGCTACATACAACCCCCTGTCCTCAAAATAGTTCTTAATGATCCTCTGGATTACAGAAGTGTCTGTAGTGACATCTTCTTTTTCATCTCTAATTTTGTTTATTTGGGTCTTCTCTCTTACAAGTGCATAGTTTTAAATATTGAAAAGAGATATTTAATGAGTTTCTATAATCTTAGAAGTAGATACAATCTGAAATAACAATTTTCCTATGCTGCAGAACATTTCTCTACAGATGCTTAACATGTTAATTACAGATCTTTTTTCCTATTGGAGTAAGATTCCAAGTAATCTTCATTAAATGACTTAACCTAATGTGAATTATTTTACAAATTTGAAAAAATTTTAGGCACATGTGTTTTAAATACTTTATGGCTAACATTTTAGTGATGCAAACTTGATTCTTAATTAGACTAAGTGGGGAGGGAAGTTAGATAAAGTTGTTGATTGCAACTGCATTTTTTTCAAAGAAATAATCATATATTTAAAATTAGGAATGTATGTATTCCTAAGTATGATTTGTAATTTCTTACAGATTTGTGGGATCTCTGGGTACTATCATCATAAAATGTAAAGATTTTCGAATTATTCAGTTGGATATTCCTGGAATGGAGGAATGTTTAAATATAGCCAGTTCCATTGAGGTAAGTATTTTGGAGGCAAAATCTGGTAGAAAGAAAAATGTTACATTCTGACTGAATTCAGCTGTTTTATCATGTTTTGTGATTCAGATACTGAAAACTGACAGGAAAAAGCCTTATCCTGACTCATTGTTTACTTGAGTGTCATGGGACTGTTTTGACATATAGCAGTTTTTAGTGTTAATCATTTTATATGAGTAACCCTTATTCCATGAACTGCTTAGATTTCTGTGGAATTGCATTCCAGGGACTTTATAGAATTTCGATGGGTTCATAGTGGTCAAATAATAGATATTGTTTTACTTGAGTATGTACGAGTATGTAGTTAATGGGGAAAATTTAGAGAATTTAGTAAAGGGGTTCTTTGGAGAAACTTTACAGTCTTGTTTGACATTTCATGTTTATTATTTAAATCTTAATATTTTTCTCTGAATCAAAGACAGTTGGTCAACTTTTTTTTGATGCTCCAAAGGGTTTTTTTTTTTTTTTTTTTTTTTAATAGCATCATATGTGGAATTTTAAGCCAATAAAATAAATAACAGCTAGAATTGATTTGGGTCACATTACAGTGAGTATGTATTGGGGGATGTAGAAGCCCCCATTGACTCACACCATTCCCCACCTTCTGAGGGCTTCCTCAAACATTGAGAACCATTAATGAGAGTGTTTCCTTTTTTCTCTTCCAGGAAAGTAACTACACACAGATTTTTTTTTCTTAATATATTAGTATATCTTTTGTAATAGATGCAACCCTATACCTTTGGGTAGAAATATTAATAATGTAATATGATTCTTGTTATAATACAGTTTGATTCTTGACTTTATTGCTTGGTAGCTTATGACCATGGGCAAAGTTTTTAATCTCTCTGACAACTAGTTTTTTACTTTTTTGTAAAAGGAGAATAATATTTCCTACCTTTTAAGGTTGTAAGAATGTTATTAGTTGATTTTTGTGGAGTGCTTAGTATAATATGTGTGAATATAGCTACCATTTGAGTGCCTTCTGTCATTTACTGAGTGAAGTTTAATGGTAAGAATTTGTGGGAAAAATATCCATATGATATTTACTATCTTAAACATGTCTACAGGTACCATTCAGTTGTGTATAATAAGTCCACATCACTGCAACAGATCCTCACGACTAAAGCAAGTCACTATCACCTGTGGTTTTAGTCTTGTTTTTTAGTAAATGAATTTCCATTTACTTTTCCGTTTACATTCATTTTCATCAGGTTGCTTACGACAGGATGTGTTTGCTTTGTATTTACTTAAACAATGTTGAACATTGGTTCAGATCACAAGTAATAGAAATTTTACTTGAATAATTTAAATTTCAGTTGAAGAGCTTATATTATTTTCACCTCATCCTAACCAAATTGGGTATGCACTCAAGTTTTAAGTTACTTTAGGCTAAATCATTGCCACTAAATTTTATTAATTAGCTCTGGGTTTGTATTGTTTTCTAGATAATTATAGAGGAAGAAAAGGGAGAAATTCTTAAAAATCTATAAGTAGTAGGATATATTGCTTGTTTTTGATATAAGATTAGAGAAATAGAGAAGCAACCATTTTGAGTGAATGGCATGTAACCTTTTTTGTGCATTTGCTAAACTTTAAATATTTAAGGAAATGAGAAGATGAAGTGAACTGTTTTACACAGTTGTCATTTGAAAGTAACATGACACTGGTTTGGCCACATTCTTCAACTTGAGTGAGAAAGCATTGTAAATGCCAGAGCATTAAGTTGAAATAATGTTCCACTATTTGGGCAGAGGAATGCCACTGGCTCTCTTCAGTTGAGAGAGAGGGAGAGAGAAGGTGGGGAAAGGAGGCGGGGGTGGGGGGGTGGGGAGAGAATATGAATGTGTGTGGCGGGGGTGGGGGGTGTGTTTGAAAATGTGAGGTTGGATTTTTACTGACCTATCCACATTTTTGTTCTTCTCTCTCTGACTAGTGATCTGTGAGATGGCCGGCTGGTGGGTGTTAGAGATGCTGCCAGTGGTGAAGAAAGGGGCAGAGCTTGTTGCCCACTTATTGATTGCATTCACTTAGCTTTGATAGCAGCTGACACCAATCAGTTGCCTAAATGGTTGTATATTACCCAGAACTCTTTAGAAATTGACTCATTGTGTAGAAACTCTTAGGGTTGAAAAGTCATAAATAATAAGCTATCTTTCTAATTTGACCTCTGAAAATGAGTGCTCTATTGAATGTTTTCATAGCATAGCAAATACATATAGTAGACCTGGCCACAAGCCTTTGCCTGGCATCCAACCCCGATCCTCCATGCTGCATACATCTTAGTTTAGGGGTGATAAGTGATTCCCTCAATAGCATAGGCTTCCTCTACCTGTTCTTTATAATCAAGAAGAGTCTGCTTACCCCAAAATATTCTGCTGCCACAGATAGACTTCCATTGGAAGAATAACTGGCAAGTACTCAGTTTTCTAAATTGTAGAAAGAAGCATGATGAAGCTTTTTTTCCTGCCGAGTTTCAGCTGCCTTTTAGAATTGAAATGTTTTCAGTTCTTCTAGCATTAATGTGTTTAAAGGAGAAGACTTATCTCTAGTGATATAAAACATAATCACAAGTAGAAATGTGAATGCTTATTGCCTACAGAGTGGTTGTTGATTTACATTTAAAATAGCAGCTGCCATGTGCAAGGCCCAGGATTTTTTCCTCAGCACTGAAAAGAAAAAAACCAGTTGAACTGACTAAAGCAGCTCTGACGTAGAACAGATGTGGGCATGTGCTTTTGTGCTTCTATTGGTGCAGTTGGCATCCAAAGACAAATAACTTTGGACAAAGTTTATAAATAACTTTGGACAGGGATGGTTTTTGTTAAACTGCTGAACTACATATCCAGTGTAGTATTGGAAATCATGGGCATATCCTTTTGTGAGCCAGACCCTACTGTGACCTAGAGGGAGGTAACTTCTTTCTGAGAGCTGTGGGATTCTGAGACTTGTCATAACCTCCCCCAAGTGAGTTTACTGCCCTTTGAACTATGCTAATTGATTAGGTGCCCTTCTTTCCCAGCCATAGTATTGCTTTTTTCTGTAACCCCCTGTCAAAAAGACGTATCTGCCAGGCGAGGAATGATGTTCCATCTGTCTGTCCCTCCATCTGCTCAGGTTTTCCTGGTTTATTACCCAAAATTCAAGTACTGCAGATGAATGTAATCTCATTTGGGGACCATAGAGTTATTACCCCAACTTGAGACCAGGTCACTGTAGCATAAAGATATGAAAATACCTCACCAATTGGCATATTGGTTCTAAGATGGAGGAAATGAACATTGATTGAATTTCCTCACACAAGGCACATATGATAGCTAAAATTACATTTTGTTTCCTTAGGTGCCAGGAGCATTGCATGTATGCTTGTTGCATATGTGATCTCTCTTAATGCTGCTGGTAACCTTACAGGGCCCCTGGGTATTGTTATTTCTCCCTTGTTACAGTTGAGCAATTGAGGTGTAGAGATAAATGGACTTGCCCACTTCTTACCTGCTACTGCACAGCTAGATTTGGAACCTGAGTCCAGTGGTCTGTCTCTTGACCGAGTTTTGGCCACTGAGCTTTATCATTTTTGTTTGCACTTACTATAAGGCACTCATTATAAATAATTTACACACAAAACAAACAAATAAATAATTTACATATGTTTAAATAGCTAGTAACTGGATTTTAGCCAAGACCTCACTGAATAACTCAAAACTCTTTGTTCTCTGATCCCTAGAAGTTCTTGGACCTTTTTATTAAACTTGATTAAATTGTATGAAGAGTAGTTTCATTTTCTCCTAGAAAATTGTGCCATTGTGTGCAAAGTTTTTCTTTTTTTTTTTCTTTTCATTCAGCAATACATATTGGATGAATGTTGTATATCAGGTGCTTTATTAGATGCTGGAAACATGGAAATTGGCTTCAGTAAGACTATCACTATGTCTATAAATAAAAAGTTAGAGAGCTGTAATGGGTGTGTATCATAATTAGGCAAGGCATGTGCTTGCTCCCATTTCTTCAGTTAGAATGTGCTGAAGTTATGGCATGTTTCTTTTTTCTATCACTAGGCATTGTCTACCTTGGACTCTGTCACTCTGATGTATCCTTTCTTCTACCGGCCCATGTTTGAGGTGATAGAAGATGGCTGGCATTCCTTCCTTCCTGAGCAAGAGTTTGAACTCTACTCTTCAGCTGTGAGTTAATGTTTGGCATTCCTTCCTTCCTGAGCAAGAGTTTGAACTCTACTCTTCAGCTGTGAGTTAATGTTTGGTAATTATGGGTAATTAGAAACAACGCAGCATTTTGTCTCATTTGTGAGAATGATAACTTTCCTTTGAAGAGAGATCAAGTGAAGTTGTCTTACCTGTGCCTAAAAGATGTTTCTATTAGTTGTTCATATCGCAGTCTCTGACATTCAGAGATTTGTATGATTTGTTCACTGCTGCAGCTGAAAAGCCTTTTCTTCCAGAAGATTAATGTATTCTAAATATTACTTTTTAAATTTTGAAAATGACATTGATAAAACATTAGTATGTGCATAAAAGTAGTCCTGGCATATTGTGAGTTAATTGTTGGACGTGTCTCCTTAGAAACAACTTCATGTCTAGTAATTAGGTTCTGAGCCATCGTCACAATTGTATTGAACCCATTGAATCCACTGGGTGCTTCAGATAGTACCAAAGAACCATCTAGCACATTTGTTTCTATGGGTTAACTTTTATTAATATGGGTTAGTCAGACCAGGTAGCTAAAATTAGGTTCTTTTTTTCCCTGTTCTGGCTAGTTTACTTCTTTCTTCTTCCTCATACTTTTATGATAACCTCTATAAGTGAGCATTGAGGGGCCCAAGACAAAGGGATAAGGAACCATGGAATTTAAAGAGCAAAGGTATCTATAGCAGCCAAGTGAGAAAGGAAAGGGATTTTATATTCTCATGCGGGGATTTTTTTTAAGTTCCATTAGTCCCAAAGATATGGTATTGAAAAGAAAGAATAAAAACATAGCTTAGCTGTAAAGATACTTTGTGTTGTATCCCAGATACATTATTGATGGCTTAACTTGCTAGGAGCCTATTGTTGGCAGAATGAAAAAGTGTTGAGCAAAATGATCTCAAGAATTCTTCCACTTCTAGCATGCTGTTATTCAAGAATTATCCAGAAAGATTATTTCAGATTCTTTGCTGAAATACACATATAGCTTATCTGTATTCCTTCTGCTAGCACTTTAGAAATTTTGTATGCAAAAGGCGATGATTAGGTTTTGGTTCTGGTTCTGGTTCTGGTTCTGGTTCTGGTTCTGGTTGAGTAGCTCCTATCTCACAAGCCCTTCTGCAGTTATCAATGACAGTGGAATCATCTACCCAAAACTACCTGGTTAGTAAACAAAAACCAGCATATTTTAAAGGGAGTCAATATTTAGAGGAAGTGAATGGCACAATGAGTTTCCTGTGTTTGCACGTGTGGGCGGGCTTTGTCCTGAGGGTAGCATGGTTGTGGCATTATTGATGTGAAGCAGCTAACATTCTAGTAGAAAGCCCTCTTTCTCTCTGGTGGGAAAAGCCAGGGGAGGGAGCCTAGGGCAGCCAGAGATGCAGGAGAGGAGTGCCGAATTCTGGACAGGAATTGGCCATAGAAGGGGATCCTTGATCCTGCATACTGCCTCCAGTCTCTGGCTGACTTGGGGGCAGTTTGGCCACAGAGCTGAGCTGCCTTGCATCACAGTGCTAGAGTTTGCAGATAAGTCTTACCAAATTATTTGCCTGCTAAAACAAAACTTCAGCATTCTCCAAAGGCATAGCATACGATGCCTATGTGGAACATGTATGTTTCCTTAGTGTATCTCAGATGTCTAGGATACAATCCAAAGTTGAACCAGGATAATGTCACCCACTCCCCCTGAGAAAAAATGACCAACAATTACTGACCCCAGGACGACTCAGAAGTTCAAATTATCACACAAGGATTTTAAAACAGCTGTAGAAACTACTAAGGTAAGAAAAAGTAAGCTTAAAATAAAAAGAAGACAAAAGCAAAAATTAAAACACTGCCTTTGCACTGTTCATGTGTGTAGATAGACTACACCTGGAAGCAATAGCGTCAGAATTTAGTCTGGAATGGCTGAGTGGATACATATACCTAAAGAGTTGGCAAGTGTTTTACATTTTATATAATATAGGCTAATATTTAAGTAAATGTAATTTTATTTATAAGTATAAATATATAAGGTAAATATAAATAAATAGAAGTGTTATCATATTTAAGTTAAAGATGTAAATTATAATATTTAATTAAAGATAAATGTTAAAGATATTTAAGATATCTTTAAGATGTATAATGTCATCCTGAGAATAGGATTAGTCAACCTTGGCAGTGTTGACGTTTGGGCTCTTAAATTCTTGTTGCAGGTGGCTTCCCTGTGCCTCAGAGTATGTTTAGCAGCATCCCAGGCACGGGCACTACCATTTGCCAGTAGCATTCTCCCTCCCACTCCCTAGTTGATTCCAGACATGGACAAATGTTCCCTTGGGGCAGAAATCACCCCTGTTTGAAAACCAGTAACCTGGAGCTATTGCTTTAATAAAATGCAAAGAAATATATTTAAAAAGTTAAACTGGAATTCTAAAAAATATTTAATCCAGAAGAAGGCAAGAAAGAAGAAACAGCAATAAAAACAGGGAACAAACAAAATAATTAAATGCTTGACTAAAGTCCAGCTATAACAATATATATTTTAATATTGGTGAGTCAGGCACTCCAATTAAAAGGCAGAAATTGTCTGAATGAATTAAAGAAAAATAGAAGATCCAGATGTGTTCTGTGTATAAGAGATGTGTTTTGAATATAAACACAGATAGTTTGAAAATGGATGAAAAAAGATGTACTGAACAAATAATAAGCATAAAAAGGCATGAGTAACTGCTAATTCCAGATTAAAAAATAAAAAGACTTTAAGACAGGCACATTTATAATAATGAAAAAGGTCATTTTATATTTAACATATGTATGTATGTATTAGCACACGTTGACAGAAATGAAGAAATATGCAATTCTACAGTCAGGATAAGATATTATTAAAATGGTCCTCTTGTCAATTAATAGAACTAGGCTAAAATAACAACAGCAAGACAAGTAGAGACAAAGAAGATCTGGTCTGAAGAACATTGCTTAATATTTATAGAATGCTGCTTTAACTTCTCCATAATATGCATTCTTCAAGAGGCACGTGGTGTGTTCCCAGGAGAAACCATAAACTGGGGTGTTAACTAAATCTAAATAAATTTACTAGGATTGAAATCACATAGACTATAATCTTTGACCTCAAATATATTATAAATCAATAACACTAAGATATATAGGAATATCTATCTCCTAATATTTCTAAATTACACAGAATATTTATAAATGATCTGTGGTTCAAATACAAAACCACTTAGAAAATATTGTGAACAAAAAATAATGAGAATGCAATTTCTCAAAATCTGTGGAGTATAGGTAAGGCAGAGTTTGGAGATAAGTGTGCAACTTATAATTCTCACATGAGAAAAGAAAATGAGTCTAAAAGCATGGACCTAAACACCAACTTAGGAAGCTAGGGAGGACAAAAACAGAAAGAGGGAGAGAGTAAAAATAAAGGCAGAAAGCAATAAGATAATTAGAATTAATAAGCAAGTTTAGCAAAATTGCTTGATATAAGATCAGTATACAAAGTTGGGTGTGCACTTATGATCACAGCACTGGGAGGCTGAGGTGGAAGGATCACTTGAGTCCAGAAGTTGGAGAAGTTCAAGACAATGTCATAAAGAAAAAGAAGAACGTGCACCCCATAATCCCAATGGTTTGGGAGGCTGAGGCCTGGAGGATCGTGAGTTCAAAGCCAGCCTCAGCAACAGCGAGGTGCTTAGCAATTCAGTGAGACCCTGTCTCTAAAATACAAAATAGGGCTGGGGATGTGGCTCAGTGGTTGAGTGCCCCTGAGTTGAATCCCTGGTACCCAAAAAAGAAGGAAATAAAAAGATCAGTTGCATTGGCAACAGTCACTCTTAACATGAATAAAATACTTAGGAATAAATTTAACCTGGTTCAGGATCTGTATATTGAAAGATGCAAAACAATGGTGACAGAAGTTGTAGGAAATTTAAATAAAAGGAGATATACTGTGTTCATTAATTGCAAAACAACATGGTTAAGATCAGTAGTTGACTTGGGGAAGGACAAGATAGTGAATATTTTAGGTTTCACTGATCATGTGCTCTGTTATAACTACTCGACTCTGTTGTTGTAGCATGAAAACAGCAGTAGACAATACACTAATGAATAGGTGTACCAGATTCCAATAAAACTTTATTTACAGAAACAGGCATAGGCTGGATTGGGCTCACTATGGTGGCAGTTCTGTCCAAATTGATCTATAAATTCAATGCAACCCTTATCAGTATTCCAACAGGTGATTTTGTAGAAATGAAAGAGAGTCTAAAATTCATATTGAAATGCAAATTGACTAGAATAGCCAAAACACCTTTGAAAAAAATAAAGTATTTAAAATGCTCGATTTTAGAGCTTCATATAAAATGGCAGTAATCAAGAAAGAATGATATTGGCATAAGGACAAACAGATGAGCAGAATATAGGGTCCAGAAAGAAACCTTTCCCTTTATGGGCAGTTGATTTTTGACAAAAGGTAGCAAGGTGATTTCATAGGGAAAAGACAGCTTTTTCAGCCAATACCTTTGGAATAATTTGATCTCCATATGAGAAAATCTAGATGGGTACCTCAAACCATCCACAAACAACTCAAAATATGTGGTAGACCTAAATGTATTGTAGATCTAAAACAGCCAAAACATCTGGAAGAAGGCACAGGAAAAAAATCTTTATGACCTTGGTTGTAATAGGTTTGTGTGTATGTTGTATGTGCGCTAGGGCTTGAACCCAGGGCCTTGCATGCACTCTACCACTGAGCTGCACTCCCAGAGAGATTTAGGTGTTACTTCAAAAACAATGGAAAATAGATTAGTGATTTCTTAGCATTGGATATTTACCAGGTGTGCCAACTGTCAAGACCCATGAAATTATGCAGTCAAGATGTATAACTTACTTTTCACCTTTTGTCTTAAAGGTGATTAAAAAGTAGAGAAAATAATTTAATGTAAAGATTAAATAGCTGGTTAGAAAGAGCTAAAGAGAAATCTGGAACAGGTTTGAAATAATTACCCAGAATACAGAATAGAGAAACAAGGAAGCTGGGGGAAAAAAGAGGTTAGAGCATTCATAGTAAAGAAAGAAGATCCAATATTTATTTATCACATAAGAGTTCCAGAAGCAGATAATACAGAAAGTGAAAGAAAGGTAGTATTTAAATAGACAATAATTGAGAATTCTTTAGACTCAGTAAAAGTAATTGAACCTAAAGAGGTTAAGGTGTCCCAGCAAACACCACATAGGGTGGTCAAAAAGAAATCTGAGCCATGTTGTTGTCTAGTCCCTGAACAGCAAAGCAAAGCTAATATTACACAATTAGCAAGAAGGAAAAGACAAGCTACCTACATGGTATTAGATAGAAGAGAAAAAAGTTTGATAGCTATGTATTCATGATAAAACCTCTTAACAGTTCTGGGGGTTTAATTCATTGGTGGAGTGTGTGCTTAGCATGTGCAAGATCCTTGGTTTAATCTGAGAAGCCCCGCCACACACACACAGATGGGGGTAGGTGTCTGGTAGGTGTCAGTGGGAAAGCACTTGCCTAACATGTGTGAGGCTCTGAGTTTGATCCCAGCATTACAAAAACAAACAGAAACCCAAAATGATTAATGGTGACTCCCAAAAGCATACAAAAAGCACTTTTTGTCATTCTCTGAGTTCAAGAGTGAGGCAAATGTGCCACCATTACTGTTCCTACTCAGGTCAATAAGGGGGAAAATACAAGGAAAAGGAATAAAATGAAAAAAGCAAAATTGCTATTATTTGCTGATTACGTGGTCTATGTAGGAAGATGAACGGATCAGGAGATTGTAAGCAAAGATGCAGTTAAAATGCAACATACTTTGTCATGTCTCTAGGAATGTATCTAAGCAAAGATACATAAGGCTTTTTTTTTTTTTTTTTTTAGTTGTAGTTGAACACAATATCTTTATTTTATTTATCTATGTGGTGCTGAGGATCGAACCCAGGACCTCGCATGTGTGAGGCGAGTGTTCTACCGCTGAGCCAGAACCCCAGCTCTATATAAGGCTTTTACTGAGAAAATTGTACAGCTTTATGGAAAAAATTAAAGCTTAACTGAGCAGAATAGTATGCCCTAGATAGGGAGATTTCTCTTAACTGATGTATAAAGTCTGTATACCTTTTTGAAACTCCAATTGATTTGTACATGGAATTGATAAAAGTTACATGGAAGAGCAAAGGACCAAGAGGAGCCATGTTACTATTAAAGACAAAAATGGAAGGAAGAGAGAATGCAGCCTACTAGACATCAAGCTTATTTTAAAAGCTATGGAAATTATTAAGATAGACCAGTGGCCTAGAATAGAGAGCTGCCCTGTACTCTCAAAAACTTTTATTATCAGAGTGGCATTGCAAATCAATGGAGGACCATATCATTCTTCAGAGTAGGAAGTCAGAAAATAATTATGTAATAGTAGAAACTCAAGGAATAAAAGCCTCAGCATTCTATTTAGAAATTTGGAGGTAAACACTCACATAGAAAATAATCTTGAAAATAATTGACTTTGGAGAAATGGAATCGGGATGGGTGCCCAGGTGCCCAGGAAATGGGTAACTATTTTTTTTTTTGGTAATGAATCTTTTAGAAACTACTACTGCTACTGCTCCTTCTACTTCTCCTTCCCCTTCCCCTTCCCCTTCTCCTTCTTTGAAAAGTAGAAAAACAAAGTAATTAAAAATTGGTGTTGAATTTTGTGCAAGTTTTTAAAATACCAGTTTTTGCCTGAGACCCTGGGTTCAATTCCCTAGCAATGCAAAAACAAACAAACAAACAAACAAATGAAAAAACCATCTGCATGTTATAGTACATCAAACACACTTTTTAGCTTCATCTTCCTACCAGTGAAGTTTATGGTTAGTATATTAGGCCAACCTGGATTATGGGAAATTTGAATTTCTTTTTACTATAAAAAGCCTTTTATTGTCTTCAAGCAGTTTTCATTTCTGCTGTTTAAAATAAGGCATTTGATAGATTTATTATTATTATTTTTTATTCTTATTTGTTACATATGACAACTGAATGCATTACAATTCATATTATACATACAGAGCACAATTTTTCATATCTCTGGTTGTACACAGGTATTTGATAGTTTTATGTGGTATGTTTTGAGTCCTTAGTCTACTGAGTCAGATTATTTCATTGACTTTTAAGTGTCTAGTCCAAGTAGCTAGTTTTTTTGTTTTAGTATTAGGGATTGAACCCAGAGATACTTTACTACTGGGCTATATCTTCAGTCCTTTTTTTTTTTTTTTTAAAGTTTTCTAATTTTAAGGCAGGGTCTCACTAAATTGGTTAGGCCCTCACTAGATTGCCAAGGCTGTCCTTGAACTTGTGATCTTCCTGCTTCAGCCTCCTGTGCTGTTGCGCCTGGCTAGTAGTGAGTTTTATCATTCTTAAGGAAGATGTTACCAATCTTTGTTTTCTTCCTTTTCTAAATAGCAGAAAGGAACAAAGGTTTTGATGTAGGTGGTAGTTTTGTTCCATCAGTTCTGGCTAGGTAGTGTTCTGGAATTTTATAGTCTTAAGTGGTGCTGTGCTTTAAGAGGACCATTGGTAAACTGGATGGTCCCCAGAAAGGAGGAGTGGGGTTCTACTGGCCTTTATGATCATTGTGTATTTAATACATTTAACTTGGAGAAGAGGCGACTAAGGGGGAAATGACTGTCTGTAAATATTTGATAGGATATCATGTGAAATATAGAACTTACGCTGTGTTGTCTGAAATCATGGTAAAAACGGTAGAGGAAGTTATAAAGCAACAGGTTTTGTTCAATGTAAGCAAGACCTTTCTAGGAACTAGTAATACATAGCAGTGCAGGAGGCTGGCCCTGATGAGTGGAGCACCTTTACTCTGGAGGTATTTTAAGTGTAGGCTAGGTATCCTTCTGGTAAATTCCCAAGAAATTGCTTCTTCATCAGTGAAAATTGACCTCTGAAGTCCTTTAAACTTTTTCATGTTCTCTTGTAATGTTGAGATATTTGCTTAGCTTTGCAATGTTTTGTGTTTTTCAGACCAGTGAATGGAGGCTAAGCTATGTCAATAAGGAATTTGCCGTCTGTCCTTCTTACCCACCAATTGTCATAGTGCCCAGATCCATTGATGATGAAGCTCTTCGGAAGGTAGCTACATTTCGACATGGAGGGCGCTTTCCAGTACTCAGCTATTATCATAAAAAAAATGGAATGGTAAGTGGTACAGAACTGCTGCTTGATCTGCTGAAAGCCTTGGCCTGGGGATCTTTTCCTAGGGAGGTTGATTTTTCTGTGTTCATGGAAGCAACTGGCCAGGTCGCTTTCACTAGGACTTCCATCACATAAACTCTAGGAAACCAGGAGCAGTTTGTTTCTCTGACGAGGCTATGATTGAATTCTTTCCATCATGCTCACCCTTAGAAAAGTAAAAATAGACATGTCTTCAGGACAGAGTGCAAAGGAAACTAGTGTTTATATGATGCTCGCAGCAACATTTTTAAGGTAGAAAAATGAGAAATTTCTCTGCCCAGAATAATGGTAAGATACTTTAATTATTCTCACCAAATTTCCATGTGGATGGTGACTTGAACAGATGTTTTTATTTTCAGAAGAGAGAGGAGTGATCCGTAATTATTTATACTTTGTAAAACATGGAAGTCAGGTTAGGTGCTGTGGCACACTCTGTAATCCCAGCAACTCTAGAGGCTGAGGCAGGAGGATGGCAAGTTTGAGACCAGCCTCAACAACTTAGTGAGACCCACAGCAACTTAGCAAAATAAAAAGGGACTGGGGATGTAGCTTGTGGTAAAGTGCCTTTGGGCTTATTTCCTAGTACCAAAAAAAAGAAGCCGTGGAAATCAGGAATTTAATAGGCAAGGACTTGCTGGATATTTTCCAAATATTAGTTTATAAATTATTTTCTCTCTTCTTTTTTTCTCTCAGCTGATAAACTCTGCTTCTCACTTTGAAACCAATAGTAAATTAGTAGATGATTATAGCTATCTTCCACCCCCCTGCCAAATGTCTAAAAATGGATATTTAGTGTAAACAGAATTTTTAAGATTTGCTATTGTTTATTTATTTATATTGTGGTACTAGAAATTGAACCCAGATTGCTTTACCTCTGAGCTACCTCCCCACTCCTCTTTATTATTTACTTTGAGACAGGATCTCACTAAGTTGCTGAGGCTGGCCTGGAACTTGTCATCCTCCTGCCTCAGCCTCCTGAGTCACTGGGATTACAGTCAAATGTTAGATAAGATACAGAGGTTGGTAGTAAGTGGCTATTAAGAGAGACTAAAGATAGTTCAAAATAATCCTGGCACTCTGTCTGCAGCATTTCACCTCTGCAGTCATGATGTTCCAGTCGGCCAGACACTGCAGGATTTTCAGTGAGGTGTGTCTTCTTTAGGGAACTTCAGTTCACACTATAGACAGATGAAAGGAAAAAGAACATACAGATTTTGTCACGTGCCTAAGCTTTGGAGTATGAGGCTCAAAGAGCAGTAAGGTGGCTGAACCTGGTAGAATGTAGCAGAGAGAGGGACTCAGCTTCTTACGGAAGATGTATACAGCAAGCCAGGCTGTGTACCAAGTCAACCAGGGCTGACTTGTTAGGGAGATCAGTCTCCCAGGTGATAACTGCTGTGCTCATCTTTGTCTGCACTAGGTTTCAGACCCCCATCTCTTCTTCCAGGGGAAAGATCCCTTCTAGGCAGAAAGAGGCCTGGGGACATCAGAAAGAAAAGCTTCTGATTGTCACTGCTGTAGGCAGACGTCAACTTCATTTTACAGAAGGACAGCTTTTCAGAGCCATTTCTGTGTCAACAGAGGTCTGCAGTTAATTTGGAGTTGTGGTATTTTACTCCCCTCCAAACTCAAGGTTTATTGGCTCAAAGACCATTATTGTCTTTGTTACTGGGCCAGGTCTGTTAGTTGTTGAATTCATGGATTTAATGAATTGAAATATTTGATCTTGAGGAGATGATACAATTTAGTATGTGAAAATATTTTGAGATAATAGGAAAAATTTTGTTTTAAAGTATAAGTTTTGCCTTTGTTTTATGTCATTACTATTGTTTGTACATGGAAATATTTCTTTGTTTTTTGATCAAATCATCTCCAAAATGCTTTGTGATTGTTTTCCAGACAGTACTCTTAATCCATCTATTTCCTTTCTGTTTTCAGAAACTTTAAAAGCTGTCCTATTGATTATCAGCATATTGTGCTTCTAGGTAATTATGCGAAGTGGTCAGCCACTCACTGGCACTAATGGGAGAAGGTGCAAGGAAGACGAGAAGCTGATAAACGCTACCCTCAGAGCAGGAAAGCGCGGCTACATCATTGACACTCGGAGTCTAAATGTGGCTCAGCAAGCTAGAGCCAAAGGAGGAGGCTTTGAACAAGAAGCCCATTATCCCCAGTGGAGGCGAATCCATAAGTCCATTGAGAGGTAAAAGGTTCTGGAGATGGGGAGCACTCTGATTGGAAGCTAACTGGAGCAAAGAGTCATTAGATATTTAAAAATCACAAGTGCTCAAATGAAACCTGCATTAATTTTAAACCTGCATAATAATTTAGGTCAGCAATTGACTGAAAACTCATTGTGACATTTTTTGTCAGTTTTATTAAAGTTTCACAAGTAAAATTGCATCTATTTGTGGTATACAGTATGTTTTATTTTTGTTTTTGTTTTTGTATAGGGGATTGAACCCAGGAGCTCTGAACCACTGAGCCATATCCCCAGCCCTTTTTAAATATTTTATTTAGAGACAGGGTCTCGTTAAGTTGCTTAGGGCCTTGCTAAGTTGCTGAGGCGGGCTTTGAACTCTTGATCCTCCTGCCTCAGTTTCTGGAGCTGCTGGGATTATAGACGTGTGCCACCATGCCCAGCAACAATATGCTATTTTGATATACTTCTACATCATGAAGTGATTACATCAATCTTTACATATCCATCACCTCATGTATTTATTTTTCTGTGGTGAAACATTTAAGGTCTATTTTTTTAGTAATTTACAAGCAAACAGTATATTATTATTAACCATCATCATCATCATGCTGTACAATCATGCTATACAGTTGTCTGACTGAAACTTTGTATCCTTTGACCAACATTTCCCCACCTCCTTGCTTTCCCCCCATACTCAGTGAGACCATGCAGTGTTTGTCTGTTTCTGTCTTATTTTGGTTAGCATGTTGTCTTCCAGCTTCATCTATGTTGTTGTAAGTGACAGAATTTCTTCCTTCATTAAGGCTGAATAGTATTCCATTGCGTATATAGTACCACAAATTCTTTATCCTCATTCATCTGTTGATAGATATTAGGTTGATTCCATAACTTAACTGTTGCCAATAGTGTAGAGCCTATGGGGATATAGATCTCTTTGAGATCCTGATTCTGTTTCCTCTGGTTAATCCCAGAAATGAAACTGCTGGATCATACTGATGATTCTATTTTGAGTGTCCAGTGTGTAGTGCTATCAGTGGGAATAGGATTGTGATTGTGGGTTGCAAATGCAGTACTTTGGCCCTCTCTACTAATCTGGTAACCCAGCTGTGTGAGCTGAGTTCACTGTTCAGATGCAGGATGGTTTACCATGACAGACATTTGAAGCATCTTTGTGTTTAAATATTTATATTTTAACCTTTCATCCTCACATTAATGTATACCAACATAGTAATTTGATTATTTTTGCCCTAGGATATTCAGAGGCAGAGTTTTTAGTTTAGTTTCTTCCTTTATCATTCTATTTCATGTTTTCTTTCTTTTACTTTTAAAAGGTATCACATTCTTCAGGACAGCTTAATCAAACTTGTGGAAGCTTGTAATGATCAAACGCATAACATGGACCGATGGCTCAGTAAGTTGGAGGCCTCCAACTGGCTGACTCATGTCAAAGAGATTCTGACCACTGCCTGCCTGGCAGCTCAGTGTATTGACAGGTAAAGTGCATTTTATTCTTCCTGAATGGGACACACACTGAGAACTAGACTTGTTTTTACCCAGGCATGTGTTCATAGAGTCTGTTGAAGTTTGTGCCTATTCCATATCTATGATTTTATAAATTGTTGTATAAGAGAGTCAGTACATTCAGTTATCAAGGAGGGATGTGCAGAGAGTGTGGCTTTTAGTAGATAATTAATATTTGTTGAATGAATGAACCATGTACATGCACACGTCTTCTGTAACATAGTTTTTTAAGTACTAAACCTTTTTTTTTTTAAATTCTTAAATTTTCAATTTCCCAATTTTATTTTTATTACACTATAAAAGAGAAATGGAAGTAATTTTCTTATTTCTTCTCATGGGGCCAAATTTACCTCTTTACTTTTGCAATATTGATGAAAGGAGAGTTATTCTGTGATACAGTGAGATGATTCTTTCTAATCTCTCAGATACCTTATTGTAAACCACTTGGCATGTGGTTATATCTGGATCTCAAGTTGAGAAAGCCTGGTTATAGTGATGTGCAGTATGTGAAGTGATTTTAGTCTATTCACTCAGTTGAAGGTTGCTAACCCTTGAGACTTGAGGCAGAAGATTGAACAGAGGCAGAAGGATTGGTATAATTGTTGCAGAAGCTTAGAATGCCCTTTTAAGAAGGGGATTCCACTGAAACCATAGGTAGGGATGTTTTGTCACCACACAGTTGGGTGGCACTTTTCTTTGAGACTTTAATTGTTTTATTAATGCTTCCAAAATTAGGGAAATATGTATATAATTTTTCATTATTTAAAAAAATTGGTAATTGAGTGGGTTGCTTAAGATCTTGTGGTAAGTTAGTGGCAGCACCTAAGAGCTGGGATTACCAGGTTGTCACTGTTCTTTCTTTTGGGGTTAGGTGAAGCCCTTTTAGCCAGGAAAATACATAAATTGAAGATCAAGATTCTGTGGTAGAGAAATCAGTACTACAGAATGAGCCAGGTTAATATCAAAGGGTTTCTTTCTTTTCAACTTGAGTTTACCGGGTTTCTCCTCATAGTGTGAGTACAGAAGCCTCTATTTTCATGTGAAACACAAATCTTTTTTCTTGAATATATATTTTAGTTGTTGACGGACCTTTATTTTTTATTTATTTATATGTGGTGCTGAGTGCCCAGTGCCTTACCATGCTAGGCAAGCACTCTACCAGTGAGCTACAATCCCAGCCCCCTAAAACACAAATCTTAATGAACATTTATTACCACATTGTCTGCCTTTTCAGCCACAATAATGAGATGATGCTGACCAGGCAGCCTTAGGTCCAAGTGTGTTCAGTTTGGGCTGGCCACATTCCATGAGCAGGGATCTCCAAACTCTCATGAGGGGTCAGGTTGATTTTTGCCATGTTTGTGTTCCCTTTTGTCAAATGTATTAAATTACTATTTACACCTCCATAAAAATTTGTTCTTATAATTAATTGCTCAAAATATAAAAATAAACCTTAAATTAATTGAATTGTTTAGAATAAACCACACATAATTACAATATATATTCAGTATATTTAGAAGCCTTAAAAGTGTTTGCTCTTACTCTTTAGCCTTGTCATTAGATTTTATCCTAAGAATGGGATTCTTGACCTACCATGGGTGAACTTCAGGGAGTCTGTTATTTTCAAATTAACAACTTCCTTACTGTAGGATTAAGTAAGTTATACTTCATCACATAATAGAATGTTATACAGCCATTAACACAAAGGTCCTAAAGAGGCCAGAGAAACGTGGGGGAAGGACTTGTAATGAAAATAATAGGAAATTGCCTTTTGTTATTACTCTGTAAAGTATATATGTATGTGGAAAAAAAATTGCCAGTTGTTATCAAACTTGAAATTTCCTTTCTCCAAAGTTTTCTTCATTATTGTGTTAATAAAAAGGGTGAAAAAAGGCAGGAGGGATGTAGTTAATTTGGTTTTGTTGTTTCCTTCCCTTCTCTTGAGAACGGTGGGATCCCATTCACCGAGTAAGTCTCGTGGGACAGTGGTACCTTTGCCACCAACTTTCTAGGTTGGCAGTTTTAATGTTTTTTTTTTTTTTTCCTATTTCCACGATTCTCAGAATGTGATTTCCCTGATCCATTACAGTTTTTGAAGGTGCCCTTATAGTTAGCTGGTGGTGTGAAGTAGATGGAAATCATAGTCAGAAAGTAATTTTAATGTATGTTCATAGGTGTGATGAGGAAAGGCTTTACTCAACTATAAAATGCAGAAAGGTAAGAGCCTCCTAAAAGGACCACTTTTCAGTTTTGTAAAGGGACAGAAAATTTAGCTGAAAAGTGCTGTGAAATTTGTTATAATTTAATGGGAATCTGGCCATGTGAAATTTGGGACTCATCATAGTCCTTTTTTTCTCTAGAAACCCTTTGTCTATCCAGTGCTTTATTTAGTGTGAGGGAGCTGGATAATGTCTTTGTCTATCCAATAATAGAGAGCAGGACAGAGAATAGTGCATAAGTTTAAAATATCGACTCAGTTAGTGTTTATTGTTAGCAGTTCATTGGCAGTGTTGGGAGTGTCCCATGTGTGTCTGGGTTTTCCACCAGGGAAGGAGCATCGGTTCTGATTCACGGAGCAGAAGGAACTGACTCCACCCTGCAGGCGGCCTCCCTGGCTCAGATCATTTTGGAACCACGGAGCCGGACCGTCCGAGGTTTCGAGGCCCTTATAGAAAGAGAGTGGCTTCAGGTGAGAATAGCCATCTATGAGGTGTTGCCATCCTGAAATGGGGTAGCTGACATCGTGTGTGAAATTTTGATTGGTTAACATTTTTAAATTGTGCATTTAATTTTCTGTGGGTCTATTAATCTACCTTCCTTCTAGTAAATGTTTATGATCTTTACCCCTCTCAATTTCTAGATGTCTCTTTGACTATATTGCTCACTTATTACTTCATCCACTTAAAAGACTTGTTAGCTGTGCTGGTTGAGCATCACTAATCCAGAATCTGAAACTTTTGAGTGCTAACACTTGACTTATGTCAAAACATAGGGGTACTCAAAAAACCAAAGGCAGAATGTTCTTTCTAATATGTGGATGCTAACCCACAACAAGAGAGGAAAAGATTAGAAGTTCATTGGACAAGACGAGGGGAATGAAGGGAAAGGAGGAGGGGTAGTTATAGGAAAGACAGTGGAATGAATTGGACATACCTTTCTATCCTCATATAAATACACGACCAATGTAATTCCACATCATGTACAATCACATGTATGTATAATATTTCAAAACATACTCTACTGTCATGTAAAACAATAATTAAAAAAATGGGTACTAAATTACCTTCAGGTCATAGGTAAAAGGTGTACATGAGACATAAATGAATTTTGTATTTAGGCTTGGGTTCTATCCCAAGATATCTCCTTATATATATGCACATTTTCCAAAACATGAAAAAATTTGAAATCCCACACATTTTAATAAGGAATACTCAGCCCGTACTTGGTTACATATGGGGGAATTACAAAGAATGTAAAATAGCCTAGTCTCCTAGAAGCTGAGTATTGATAGTGATAAACAGGGAAGGCATTATTGTAGCACTTCCTGCCTTTGCCTTGTGGCTTCGTATCCTCTTCCCTAACCAGGTGAAATCCTTTTCATCTTTTGAGATCCATCTTTTGAATGTCACTGCTTTCATGAAGTCTTTGAGACCTATCTCTTTATTTACAGATAAATTTGGTTCTTTCCCTTCATGTCCTGTTTTCTGAACTATCCCCCTAAAGTGACTTCTTTGAGGTCAGGAAACCATGACCTATTTATCTGTTTATCCCTAGGACATAGTACACTGCTGTCATATAATGTCGAGTGACTATTAAAATAAAGTTCTCATGGCATCAGCTGAAATCCTCCAAGTCAGAGATTAATTTATGAATCTATTTTAACTTTGTAATTTGATAAATAATTGTGATGGAAAATAATTGCTCAGATATATGTTGAAAGAGGACATATCTTAGATGCAAAGAATTTTTGGCTCTTCCAGTTACAATGCAGATGCATTACATGTATATGTGTATATTTCTTTGCAGTTTTGAGCATGGAACCCAGGGCCTTAAGCCTGCTTAGACAAGTGCTCTACCACTAAGCTACATGCCCAGCCTGCAAATGTACTGTGTGTTACTCTTGTGATGTATGCCCTGTTCTCTGTTTTAAGTCAGACCTTCCCTGTATTGTATTTGCCTTCCCTGGTTGGTGAAATCAGTTCAGCCACCTCCCTCATGCTGCATAGTAGACAAACCAATAAATGTGCTTGGTTAATTCACATGCTTTCATTTTGATGGGTACCCAGATGGGTTAACCATGGGAAGTTTCCATGGTATTCTCTCTGTCAGATACAGTAGTACACAGATCCAAAGACAAAGCAGGACTCTGAAATATCTAGTAGAGTGATTTGTAATGAAATCAATGCTTGTATTCTGGGCAGGAGGGCCGATTATTCTTCACGGTACTTTGGGCAGGATCTTGGAGTGTTTGGAGGAGAAGAGGGTTATTAAGGACAGCTTTGTCTCTAATATCAATGTACAGTATTCATTAAGATTTCTTCAAGACATTAACTTTGCCCACATGTAACTGAAGACTTACTATCAGAGCCGATACAGACTTACATGGTTTGTCAGAGTCCTGGTGTTTGTCTCCATTTAGTGGTGAGGCTTCTGTAGTTTGCAGCACAACATACAGTGTTTTCAGATAGAGGGCGATTGTTGTCCTTGCTTTGTACCTGAGAACTTAGGTTCTTTGACTTTGCTCCACATTTTATAGACTTAGGTTTATTTTGTAAATTTATCGTTACTTAAATTCATTATTTTTTCATTTGATATTCCAAGGACAGTAGCAATTGCTGAGGTCATGTCTTGATTACACAGCCTTGTTAAGGATTTAGAATTCTACCTTTCTTTAGTTGCTAAAATTATTCATTTTGAACCAAGAAATCATTATCTAGCAGGAGCTACCCTAGGTTTATGATGTTTTAATTAATATAAAATTCATTGGAATTATGTGCAATAATGTTGATAGAATGTATTGTAATGTGATCTCATCAGGTGTGACAGTTAAATTTCCACCTTTTCCCATAGGCTGGTCACCCGTTCCAACAGCGCTGTGCACAGTCAGCTTATTGCAATAGCAAGCAGAAGTGGGAGGCGCCTGTATTTCTTCTCTTCTTGGACTGTGTTTGGCAGATACTCCGTCAGTTCCCTTGCTCTTTTGAGTTTAATGAGCATTTCCTCATCATGCTCTTTGAGCATGCATATGCCTCACAGTTTGGAACATTTCTGGGCAACAATGAAAGTGAAAGGTGGGTACAGTGCACAAGGGACATTTCATTTTTAGTTGCTTGGTCACTTCCCAAAAGAGACAAGGTTTGGGGGTCTGTTAATGTTATACAGAAAAGGGTAGAGACTACAGTTAAGTTACGTGAAGTGTAGTCTAACAGCTAATCACGTGCTGGAGGAGAGGATATCCTAGACTTTGTTCTGTTAGGTTAAAGTAAGTTCATACATTAAGTAAAAACTTTGAGCCATTTTGGGCAACCATTTTAAATGTTAATTTCTTTATATAGGGTTATGATATCTTACATTTGGAAGAAGCCTTAATATATGATCCTACTCTGTCCCTTGGCTTTCTTTATAGATTAAGAGAAGATTCAGAGAGGTTAAGTGACTTGTCTAGGGACACATAGCTGGCTAGTCACCAAAAGTCTGGCCTAGAAATAGGTCTTCCTGCTCCTGCTGACAGAGCTGGCCAGCTGTTATACCTAGAAATTGGCCTCAAGTCCCAACTGAGTCTCACTTCACAGTCTAGGCACTTCAGGTTTACCGGTTTATTAGAAGATTTGTATCAAAATGTTCTTAGAGGTGCATAGCTGGTAATCTTTCCTTTGGTTACAATCACCAGGCTTCCTCTGGCTAGGGGCAGGATTTATCTTGTTGCTGGATGCCAACACTATGTAGTTGAATAGTAAATGTAAACAAATGAGTGGAATTGTTCTATCTTTCCTAATTTAAGTGTCACAGAGAGCCAGGTATGATGGCACATGCCTGAAATCCTAGTGACTTGGGAGGTTGAAACAGGAAAATCACAAGTTCAAGGCCAGCCTCAGCAACTTGGTGAGGCCTTGTCTCAAAATAAAAATAAAAAGGGGCTTGGGATGTGGCTCAGTGGTTAAGTACCCCTGGGTACCAAAGCAAAATAAAAGTCTGAGAACAAAGCAATGCATGTTTTATTTAGAGCTGAATTGGCAAATGTTTCAACATTTGAGTTTCTTATAGATTTTTGACTTCAGAAGAAATAAAAATGAGGACTATATGAGTGCTGTAGAAAGTTCTCTGTCATCATGGTTTTCTCATCTTAACTTTTTCAATTAAAGGATACTGGAAAGTATGGAAAGGAGGCAAAGACACTATAGCATGAATGTACTAATGTACTTTAAAGCAAAATTTAGAATTGTGCACTTAGGCAAGGCACAGGGCTTTTGGAATGACAGAGTAAAAGAAAGGCCTCTGAATATTGACTCCTCCAAATAACAATGAAAATACTTGCAAAAATATTTAAAAATCAACTATTTAGATTTCTGGAAATTAAATAAAGGCTTGCAACAATCTGAAAAGCATTCATTCAAGAAAAACTGCTAACCCTTGATAAGAACAGCAGGGTTTGGGCACTTGAACTTTGCCTAGCACCAACTCCTTTGCTCAAATTTGCAGTATCACTGAAAACCAGGAGCATTACAGCCACCAGAGGGAGGAGAAGCAGATTTGGAGTTTCTCAAAGAGTAGGGTACCAGGGTTGAGGATGCAGTTCATTGGTAGAGTACTTGCCTAGCATGCACAAGGCTCTGGGTTTGATCCCCAGGACTGCCAAAAAAAAAAAAAAAAAAAGAAAGAAAGAGATTCAGAAGCCCCATGCCTTTAGAATTGTGCATACTTCTAAATTTTGCTTTGGAGTACATTGGGTACCTTTGTGCTGCAGTGTCTTCGCCTCCTTTACATACTTTCCAGTATCCTTTAATTGAAAAAGTTCAAGATTTGAAATTAGAAGATTTATATTCAAATCTCCATTGTGCATCTTTCTAGCCATATGACTTCTTACAGAGTCATAAACAATCATTAAAGGCTTTAAAACACCCTTCAGCAAAGCGACATATATGACTAGTTCAGCATTTAAGGAAATATGTTTGGTGACCACGAATTTCTGTTTGGTGTTACACCTAATATCCCTCAGAACTAACCTCTGACAAAGGAATCACAGGTAGATTCATGTTCTGCTCCCCAGTTGTAGAGTTCTGGTAGTGCTGAGTGAGGAGGATTCTGAAGCTCTGTTGGGCTCTGCTGGATAAAGTTCAGGGATTGGCTAGCCATGGGCAGGAAGCATGGGGCTGTGGCCCCTGGGTGCAGTGATGTCCTGTCCTTGCCATCCTTGGTTCCTGGGAACATAGTGTGGGACACACTGTACTAACAGTTAAAGTCCAGTGCCATACAGATTTTGTGATTAGGTGGAAAACATGTATTGCATACAAAAAACACACATAATTAACTTGTATGCAGCTTTGTAAACAATCAAGTGGTTTCAGGGACAAACCTGACTTTATAATAAAACTTCAGCTTGAGTAGTGAATCTTGTGAAAATTGAAGGTATTATCTTTTTGGTTAATACAAGTTTACCACAGGCTTTCAATCTTTGTTAAATTTACATTTTCCTAAAATGTAGCAGTCCATTTTCCTTCCAAATAGTTTATTCCATGATAGTGTCAAAGAGTTTAATATGAGGATTATTACAAAGATTGTTCATTGGGTATGGATGTAGATTAAGTCTGCTTTACATCAAGATTCATGTTCATTTTAAATCTTTGACAATTTATGTTTTATGTATGTGTTAGTTTTCCAAAAAGCTAAATAATTCTCTAAAAAATTTTTACATTTTGAGATTTGATTCAACCTCCTTTTTAATATGTATAAATTTTTGTGTCTTTATATACTAGGCTTCTCAGAAACAAAGAAAGTAGGAAGTTTTTTTTTTTTAATATTTAGCTATTTTAAATTTAAATATAGTCCCAGAGCCAGGCACAGTGGCACATGCTTGTAAATTCCAGAGACTCTGGAGACTAAGGGAGAAGGATCACAAGTTTTATGCCAGCTTTAGCAACTTAACAAGGCTCAGTCTCAAAATGAAAAATTAAAAAGGACTGGGGGTATAGCTCAGTAGTAAAGTGTTCCTGGGCTCAAATCCTAGTACCTGAATATATACATACACATACATAGATATATATATACAGTGAATCCCAGATATAATAAAGGACTTTGGATTAAGCTTTATCAGCAAACCCAACATAACCTGATTCTGGTTTTGTCTTTTGCCTGTTTCTTGGAGGCCTGTAAAACAGACTTTGTTTTGTTGAGAGTTATAATGCTGATGGAATTTTATGACAGATATTTTTATTTTACAGTATTTTATTTCTCTACTAAAGGTCTTGTGTTCTGCCTTCTATTGTACAGAGCAGACAAATTGTCCTATTAAGAGGAACATTTCATAGTGATTGTTTGATGGTGATTTTCTTTCTTGATCAGATGTAAATTGAAGCTCCAGCAGAAAACGATGTCTCTGTGGTCCTGGGTCAATCGGCCCAGTGAGCTGAGTAAGTTTGCCAATCCTCTCTTCGAAGCCAACAACCTGGTCATCTGGCCTTCGGTTGCTCCACAGAGTCTCCAGCTGTGGGAAGGTAAACCATTCCCTTTGCTGACTAACCACTCCCAGATGCTCTCCCGGCTGCCCAAGAGCTTGTGCTGCTGTGCCTGGATGGGGTCTTCAGGCCTGTTTGTCATTGTTACTGTTACTAAGTGGTCTCTGATTAGTCATCTTATCACATTTTTTCTAGTCCCCATTGGAGAAATTGAGAGTGATGATACACTGCTGTATTTATTTCTTGTTCTGTTTTCCCCAGATAGGAAAATGCATTGCTTTTGCATAACAGAGGTTAAGTAGGTAGTTGGATATGAATAAATTATAAGCTGTTTTCCCTTTTATGCTGTTATTATGGTAGGTTCCTGTGTAAATGCTATCAAATGGTTTTCATTCATTCCAGTAATGTCCTATAAATAGACACAATACCATCAGTGCAGAATTGCAGACATCTCATTGTTCATATAGAACAATAATCCACGCTCAGTTTTTACATGTATTCTAAAGTAGGTTATTTACATATACTAATTTTTCAGACTACTGAAGCTCATCCCCTTAAATAGCAAAGCTTATTCTGAAAAAATTACCAAAAGCTATCTAAAATATATTAGCTGTTCATCAAACAAAGGCTGTAAAATACCATTTAATTTCTTTGTAATCATTTGAAGACAGTAAGCACATCTTTATTCGTGTACATATTAAGAGTGATAAAGCTTAAGATACAAGAATAGCAGCTATTTGGTGAATCAGACTAAATTACCATAAATGTCAGTGATTATACCATATTCTAATGTGTTGTATCTTGAGGGCACTTTGCATGTGGAGAGCTGTTTGCCCTTATACAGAAGGTCTTAGATGGTTTGCCTTCTTGGTCAGTTTCTACCTCCTCTGAATGTCAGCGCTGTGTCCTCTCCTTGTGGGGCAGCCATCTCAGCATGTGCCTCTAATCCCTCCTGTCCAGGCATCCCTGGTTGGGAGTTGGGGAGATGGCTTCATGAAGTCTCCAAGCTCTCTGAGGCTAGGATTCCAGGCACTGATTTTGGGAAGGCCTTTTGGCTGCTAGGAAAAGAACTTCTTTGCCTATTTTTTTGTGGACAGTCACAGGAATAGAATAAGTGATCCCTTAAGTGAAAGATTACAGCTTTAGTTCCTGTTTAAAGACTTTAGGACAATTTATCTAAAAGCCACTGTCATGTTTAATCACCGAAGAAGCTAGCTTTTGGGGAGAAAAGCCAACTTTGTGAGTTGGATGTCCTGAAGTGTTATTTAACTAGTTTTAACCAAGCCTCATTGGGATTTAGAGATTAGTGGTAGAAGGAAAATTTTGTTGTTACATGGATGAATTCCTGCTACTCCATTAAGAACAGTCCCAGTATGTGTTTAGTGCTTCCTCAACTCAGGGCTGGAAGAAATAAATGCTGTATTAGGTTAGATATTATGATAGGTTTAGAATAATTGTGTGACAGAAGAAACAGTGTAGGTCAGTTAATCTTTAAGCGTTGGCTTTCTTTATCTATGGTTGCACATGCACAGAGGTAACCAACCATAGGTTGAAAATAGTTGGAAAAAAATTGCATCTGTACTGAACATGTAAAGTTTTTCCTTGTTGTTATTCCCTATAACAACTATTTACATAGCATTCACATTGTATTAGGTATTATAGGTAATCTAGAGAAGATTTAAAACATATGAAGGGTGTGCACATATTATGTCATTTACATTAGGGACTTGAGCATCCGAGGATTTTAGTATCCAAGGGAAGAGGATGTCTAGAACCAGTTACCCTGCTGATACTGAGGACTATAAATCCTTTTAGTCTGTAGTAAAAGGGTAATTATTATTTGACAAGGGAAGCAATTATGCCTCTCAAATACTGGGGGAATGAGAGGAGAAGAGCACACGCTGTGCTGAAGTTGAGGCAGCAACCCATGTGGGCTCTGCTTTTGCCATCACTGTCAATTTCCAGTGAAAGAGGTTTCACACATGTAGGAAATCGGGCCAGAGTAAACCCTGTGAGTGTAAAAATAAATGATTTGCATCGTGAAACTGGGAAGTTTGTGGCATTGTTATCAGCTTCTTTTCTTGAATATATCACAGAACACTACTTTACTCTCTTTGAGAATTTTGTGGAATTTTTCTGAAGAATTAGCATGTACATAAAAATAGTGAATTATTAGCTATTGTATTTAATTGGATTCTTTCAGTACCTCAAGATGCCTGTATGTTTTAGAATATAATAAACATGTGCTGGGGTTGTAGCTCAGAGCTTGCCTAGCACATGTGAGCCACTGGATTTAATCCTCAGCACCACATATAAATAAATAAAATATAAAGTAAAGGTATTCTGTTCATCTACCACCACCACCACCACCACCACAACAACAACAACAACAAAAACCAAATTAGATCTTGTTAAAAAATAAACAAAACAATATGTGTTGAAGAAAAAATGTGCAGTATAATACAGGGAATTATCTATTATCCACTAACATGGTGTTGATCCATTATTTTTTTCCCTTCTGTTTTTCCACTCATGTGGAATTTTCAATAGGAATTTTCCTACGTTGGAACCGATCCTCCAAGTATGTGAATGAAGCATATGAGGAAATGGTGAACATCATTGAGTACAACAGGGAATTACAAGCAAAGGTCAACATGCTGAGGAGGCAGTTGGCAGAACTGGAAACAGAGGATGGACTGCGGGAGAGTCCCTGAAAGACCCCCACCATCCTAAGGACCTTCAGGGCCGAGTCCTCCTCTTCCCCTCTCTTTCTGCAGTTCACTTGTACTTGATAGCCTTCAATTTAAGGCTTTGGACCCCTCTGATGTCATGCTCTCTCAGCACTGTAGAAACCACACCCACTATGATCACATTGCTTTGGAAACCGGAAGGAGGTCCCATTTTACATGGGATCAGTGACCTGTTTAATGGCATTTGTGTCACACATCATTTTACCAAAACTCTCCTCCTCATCCTGTTTCCAAACAGTACTCCAGACCAGTTGAGGGTATGATGAAATCTCTTTAGGGAATATTTGGTGGATTAATAAAAGAGTCAAGCTTTTTAGCACTCTTGGTATAGAAATGTTTTTTAAAACTGAAGTGGTTAATAAAAAATTTTGTTTAATATGCTATTTCCATTATCTTTGCAACATAAAATGACCATTCTCTTACAATTTTAGACTAACAAATTTGAATTCATTCTCATTCTGGATTGTCAAGAAAGGAAAGTTGGAATACTTGTTCAAGGTACCTTCTTTCTGTAAGGGCAACAGGTATGGTCATTTGATTTTTGCATTAAGAAGAATTAAATTTATTTGAAGAGCAGACACTAAAGTATGTGCAATATAGAATTCAAGTAGGAATTTGTTATTAAGAGAGAACTGTTACTATTGAATTTGTTTTTCAGGTCTCTGACCATGCATATAAAATGTGTATCAAATACTGGATATAAAATTAAATCATCATTTAGAATAAGGTGAATTTGTTAAGATTAAGCTACAAATATGGTTTCCTTAAACCAGAGATGCACTGCCCTTGTCAGAAGTTCTAATTGCACTGTTTTATATGTGTATGTGTGCGTTTATTTTATTTTTAAGTATTTTAAGCATTTACTGGGACTATGGTTGTTAAAACTTTCTTGTTGGCTAGAGCCATTCGCAAGTTTATCTTGACTCCACTAATTTGCCCAATATGTGTTAGGCAAACATAATTTAACTGAAGGAGGAGATTTTTTTTTTTAATACGATGCAGCTCTGTTTAAACTTCAGAAGCAGTTCTGAAGTGTCTCAGTGTTACAGAATAGCAGTGGCCGTGCTCCTGCTCTGCATCTTGGTTATAACTGCAGCTCTGAATGTTTGTGGTTCAGTACTGTCCAGATGTGTTTCTATCTAGTGGCACTGCTCATGGTAACAATACCGTCCGTTCTAGTTTTCCTTTAAGAGGATATTTGGAGAGTAATACCGTTTCTACACCATCTGTGCATATGATTTCAGTAGTAACATGGCTTTGGACCCTGCTGCAGAGTTAGGTATTGAGGTAAAAATACAACTTTCAAAAATATACTCTTGCAAAATTTATGGCCACATTCAGGAGCCTTAGAAAGTGGCAGATGCTTTCTGTCTTCAAATTCCCAAACTTCCTCTTTTTCGCCTTTCTCAGACTTGTACAAAAGGCTGGATAACCATCAACAGTCAAATGGTCTAGGTAAGTTTGCCTGCCTTCTTCTCTAAGCTCAGTTTTATTCTTGGCCTATTTTCTTGACTGTAGTCATGATTCCTGGGGCATTGACACCTTCACAAAAGACTAAGGGAAGGAGCTTTAGAGGTGTTCTTGCTGCCCATATCTCCATGTTCTATGAAATGTCTGAGTTTCGAAAAAGAAGAAACAGCCTCACTTTTTTATGGATCCTCAAAATTCCTTTTGTTTGTGCAGCTAATCTTTTTGTCTTCTCTTATTTTTGTATGAAAAAAGAGCCCTTTTCTTTTCAACTAATGGACTGATAAGGAGAACCATCTGGAGATTTCCTTAGTGATTTTTTTAGAAACAACTTCCACTGCTTATGCTGATCAGCTGCAGGGCTTCCATGGGTAGCAACTTGGAAGGGAATTGTTGTTGGGCTTGGTCATGGGAAACTCACAAGCCATCAGTTTACACCTGTCTTCCTGATGAACACTTGATGTGAGAGCCATAGACAGTAATAGCCTAGTATTTCAGTTTTTTTTTTTTATTTCTCCTGTTGAGACAGGATAAGTTTGTATTTTAAAGTTAACTTATAAATAGGGATTAACCAAACCTCAGATCTGTTTGCAAGTTGTAAAAATATATTTTGCTATAAGTGCACTTTCAAAAAGGTCACTTAATAATGTAAATATTACAGTTTCCCCAAACTCAAGAACCCTGTCAAGAACAAGTGCATCATCACTATAATTTGAAGAGGGGTTTCTAGCAATACTATGAAGTTACTGCCCTTGGGTGAGGAGAATAAATTACAATGGATACGCTCATGAAAAAATACTTGTTAAGCATTAGGTCTGGAGAGTTGCCTTTGGTGAATATGGCTTTAAAAACTTGAATGAAAAGGTTGGTGACAGAATTAGTAAGCAAGCAGATGCCCTGTATGAGCCAGATATAATCAAGTGTGAGGTGATCAGTCCACATACGTTAGTCGTCACTCTTCTTCTGTAGAGAGGTTGGTTGACAGCGGGAAATGTTTCATAGAGTAGATCCCCAAAGATCATCTTCAGAAATACAAAGGACTACAGTCCTTCTTCAGTAACACCAAGGATCCTGAGATGTAAGCTAATGATTTTTTGAAAATCAGAAGAATATATTTACTTGATTATATAAGAAACCTGAAACTTTTTAGTAATTGGATTGATTAAAATTTTTGTTTTAACATTAAATGGAAAGAAAAGCAAAATAATAAAATCCATTAGCTTTTAAACAACTTATAAATATATTTTATTTCTTAGAAAAATTAGGCTGTCAAAGTAGAATTTTAAATGATTTTTGAGCAAACTTGCAAAGATAATGATAGATTCATTGAAAATCCCATATAGAGGATTTAAAAACTTTTCTTTGACCTCCGAGGCCTGATTAGAGGTAGGATCTCATTGCCTTTCATTTTAAAGATGAAGTTTAGTGGGATTTTATTTAGTCGTTGATTTAGTCAGTAACTGGCTTATGTTAAATAAAGTCAATATCATGGAAAAGATTTAACAGTTTCTTAAAGTGAAAACATTTTGCTGCCTTTGAAAGATCTGATTAAAGACAGAACTCTGGTAGTTTTCTGGCTTCAGGAATAGCTGTTGTACTTGTCAGTCTTCAGAAGGTCATCAGGTTCAGTTATCATCAGACTTAATCTGAGGCAAAGGTTTTAACATTTGTCCACTTACAATTTACTGAATGAAAACTACACAAGGATACTGTGGACATTCTTTGTTAGAAAAGTATTTCCTGGATAGGGAGTGGGTAATTTTTAGAATAGCTGCCCTCCTGTTCTGGAAACTTTGACCTTCACCAGGGAAGGATGGCATTACCACATTGGTACAGGTTTGTGCCACACCTCAAGATGTAAGTCAGTTACTTCTCATTATTTAACAAGAAGACAAACTGCCTCTCCAGAGCTGGTATTGTAAGTTATTACCAGATAGTATTTTTATGTTTTTCACCATCTTAACAAAAAACATTGAAAGACTGATTTCTCCATTTATATTTATTCTTAGATGATATAAAATGCTAAATTTATTATATTTGATTTTTAATTTTTATTTTTTTTTTAATAAGACTACTTCTACCTACGCTCAGGCTTTATAATCCACTCTCCACAGCATCTTCTTCCATGATACTGATAGTCCCGGAGGAGATCCTCCGAAATTCTAGCCCTAGGTTTTAAAATTTCTGAACCTTTACCTAAATTCTCTTTTAAGAAACCTAATGCCCTTACTCATGAACCACACTGGGAACAGTAGTTTGAGCTTACTTTAGTGGAAGAGAACATAGCTCACTGTAGACACTACATTGTCTTGATGAGAGCTGACTGACTTTTAGAGCCATTCTGTTCAACCATCTGCAAATCTAAGGATTTTATGTGTTTGTGATTTGTAATAAGATTGAGTTTTGCAACACTGCCTGTGTCTGTCGGGCCAAGACATTTGCTTCACTCTGAAAATGCACATCTTTTTAGAGAAGTAAATTCTGCACAGATACACCCCGATTCCCGTGGTTTAGAACCCATATAGATCTATTACCATCTACACTAAAAATATTGTACTTGCACAACTTAGTTTATTTAAAAAAAATGTATTTCTAACAATAGCCGGGTATTTGGATTGTACTCTTGATATATTTGAATGTGACTCTTGGATTTAAGTGCACTATTATTCATGTCTTACACAATAAAATTGCACTGTATGGCGAATGTGTTTATAAAGTTTGCTTTGCTAAAACCTCAAAGTGCTGTAATGTACAGGTTTCCATGTTGTGAACCTGTCTCTATCTAGTCTGAGGGGAAAATTCTGAACTTCTGTAAGTCTGTGTAACACTTTGATATTATTTGTCATGTTCACCAAGTAATAAGTTCATGTATGTCCTCGAACTGGAATCAGTCACCTTGAGTTGGTTGGTTTGTCAGGCTTGGTTTACTGAATCAAGAAACAGTCTTGTCAGTGTGGCACTGTTCTCAGTCTGTAATATTTGTCTGTGGTGTTCTCCCTCTGCCCGAGAGGAGTGTTGCGCAGATGCTGGTGTTAAATTTCTATAGACAATGGTAATAAAATCTGTATATGTTCAAAAGCTGATAAATTAAATTCGTAGGCTGATTTTGATTTTTGGATATATTTGTGAGGGTCTTGACAGTGTTTCAGTTAAAATAACTATTTTTGATCATGTTTTGAAATAATTGAAATCTGCAAAAAAGTTATAAAATAGTACACAGTGATCTCCCATATACTGTTCACCTAGATTGAATGATTGATATTGACATTTCTTCAACACTCTTTGTGTGTGTGTATTACTACTATTTACCCTTCTAAATACTTCACAGGTATTTCCCAAGAATTAGTAGTATATATCATACATAGTATTCTCTTAGTGTGTATTAATATAAATAAATTAATTAGAGGAAATGGAAACCTTTCCTTAACATAAACTGCCAATTATTAAATGTAGAAATAGTGATGAAATTAGAAAGTCACTGTTTGGAAATCATCATGGTAATAATTGATTTAAGCAGTACCATCAATGAATGGAAACTAGCAGTTGCAAGTTTGTAGAGAACAGAATAGGAGAGCACCTTATCCAAGCAAAAGCTAACATTACCAGTAGTGAGACACACTGACATTATCTGAATTCTAATGAACAACTGAGAACACAGCATAATTTTTGGAGGAAAAAAAACACGACCTATGAGAGGCAAATGTAAGTACAAAATGAGTGGTCTGCATTCTTGAAAAAGAAAAAAAAGTCAAGCTTATGGAAGAAAAGAAAACTGATAAACTTTTTGCAAGTTTGAAATTGTTTCTAATCAAAGCCCAAACTGAACATACCAGCTGATATCATACAAAGCGTTTAAAATAAAGCAAAATGAGAGTCAAAACATTTCAGCTACTAATAAATATCTCCCGAACAAGTGAAACATCAAGCAGAAGAAAACTCTCATATTCCAAATACCTTTAAACAAAACCATCAAATAAGAAAAAAATTCTCAAATGAAAATTGCAAAATTCAGAACAGAAATAAACCAAGGAGGAGGAGGAGGAGGGAAAACAAAAGAGCTGATGGATAAAGACAAAGTCATCTTAAAGATGAAGATGAAATTGAAAGGTGCCCAGTGGAGAACAGCTTCAACTGAAAATTATTAAATGGAACTGAAGAGCATGAAAGCCAGGAGAGTGAAAGATGAAGTAAACAGTAGTGCTAACTTAGGAAGAATTGGAGTGCCCAATGAAGAATAACAATGGAACAGAATTCCCAGACATAAAAATTTGAGTGAAATTGGATCTACATTGGCCAATTCTAAAACATATTCTGGTAAAACTATTAGATTTAAGTATGAGGAAGAAAAAAGTCTTTAGGGTCTTTGACCAAGAAAGACTTTAAATCAGATCACCATTAGAGTGCTCAGTAGCATGCAAAGTAAGATGATAAGGATATCACCATTTTTGAGAAATGCCTGCCCCTAGAGTATGAGCTAAAGGTTTTGTGTGGAAAGTGGTGACAGTGAATAGGAGAGCAGTGTCTGAAATTGGGGTCCCTGATGACTTCATGGCTGTGGCATGCTTGGTGCCACATAACAGTAACTTTAAACAGTGGGTTTTCTTGAGAGCTACACAAAACTCCTAACATTGCACATTGCAACTGTAGTATGTAACTGAGAAATAAACTGCATAATATTGCTAACTCTGTAACTTTCATGAATACAAACAATAATGCTTGCATAGTCTTTAACCTTATTAGAGACATATGTAATAAAGATTACTGGAGTAATTCTTTAGACCTCTTCTTCATCAGAGAGCAACACTGCACCCACTCCCAGGCGTTATCTTCAAAAATCTGTGTACATGAGTCTTTATTTTTCTAATCTCCCATCCTCCCTCACTGGAACCTGCTAGATTGGCCATGCTGTTCACTGCAGTTGGTGGCCTGAACAGATCCACAGGGTAACTATTTCTATCTCAGATGAGGAGATCCTCCTTTTAGGCATGCGCCCTGTTAGCCAAGAAAAAGCTTCAAAGCAAGGAGGTGTGGGGTGGGCATTCAGAGTTGGGTGTAAAACATGGCATTTACAGGATCCAAAGAGAAGGATCATCGTGTGTCTATCCTTATAGATAATTAAGAAAGGAGGTAGTACTGTTAGAAAAGCACAGTTTTTGTGGTTTTAAAACTTTATTACTGAAACTACTGTGACCAATGCAGCCAAATTAGCAGGTTCCTGTAAGAGATGATGAGAGATTAGAAAAATAAAGACTCACATATGCAGATTTTGAGGATAACAGCTGGGATTGGGTGGAAAGCTGCTCTCTGATGGAGAAGCAGGTCTAAATTATGCCAGCAATCTTTGTTATATATCTCTCTAATCAGATTAAAGACTATGCAAGCATTATTCTTTATATTCACGAAAGTTAGAGAGTTAGCAACATTATGCAGTTTATTCCTCAATTACATACTACAGTTGCAATGGGTGATGTCAGGAGTTTTTGTCTCTCTCAAAAAAGTCCATTGTTTAAAGTTACTGTTATGCAGGCAGATTCAGGAGCAGCAGAGCTGGTGAAACATTGTGGTTGTCTAGCAGAGGAGTTCCTTGATTCCCAGGAGCTGTGTGCCTGAGATCAAGGCAGAGGCTGGTAAGACTAGCACAGAGCCTCCTCATGCAGGGTATTACCATAGCAATTAGGCATTCTGCACCTTTGCACTCCTATCATCGCACATTGCAACTGTAGTAAATTTTCCCAGGCACCAAGCATTCCATAGCCATGAAGTCATCAGGGACCCCAATTTTAGACACTGCTCACCCATTTACTGTCACCGCTCTCCACAATTTTGTATTCAGCCAATCTGTACTTTAGAAGTCACACTCATTAAACATGCAAACTCAGGTGATGCTGTAGTTAAGTTTGTTTTCTGTGAAGTCAGTGGAAGGTTATTCATTAACTAAGAAATGAGAGTGGTTGTGGAATATTGTAAGCTTAAGAATATTCAAGTTAAAGAATAAAAAGGAAAGGATGGAAGAGCAGCATGTATATCATATATTTTGGCAAGGCAAAAATATTGCCATTTTTATAATAAAAAAGAATAAGTTCATAGCTGTCTTTAACAGGTGGGATCAAGGTATCATTTAAGCCTAACAAATCAACTTGTAGAAGATTAAGTGTGGGAATTATAAACAATATTTAAAGACACCTCCAGGAAAAATAAAAATATTCAGGAAATTAAAACCAAAACCGCTCTGAAGATACAACATAAAGTAGATACAATGATATACACAGTCAAAACAATTGAATCTGAACATTAGTCAGATCAATAAATGTGAACGGGTTTGATTCATCTATTTAAAGATTGTCAGGGCTGGGGAGGTAGCCCAATGGCAGAATACAAGGTTTAGTCCTCAGTACAGCAAAAAAGAAAAAGTCATCAGGTTGGCTTATCAATCCAAACCAAATTCTGTATCATATGCAAGAGAGAAAGTGACAGAGATTTTTAGAACAAAGGGATGGTGTACCAATCAGTTTAATATACAACACAGTTACAGTAATCAAAACTGTGATACTCTCATAAACAGATATGTGGGTTAATGGAACAGAATAGAGTGTTGGGAGAGATGTCAGAGATGATCTTTGACAAGGATTTCAAGACCACACAATGGGAAAATATGATAGTCTCTTCAAATGTTGGGAAAACTGGCTATCCACATGCAAAAGAATGAAGTTGGAGCCTTACCTTATACCACATAGGAAAATTGACTCAGAATGGAGTAAAGATCTAAATGAATGAGAAGCTAAGAAGAGGATATGGGAAAATCTAAATCCTAACCCTAAGCATAACCCGATTACAATTGGATTTGATCGTGTCTTGGATGTGACACCAAAGGACAAGAAGCAAAATGAAAAATATGACTATGTCAACCATTTGAAACTCCTGCACATCCGAAGAAACAGCAATGAGAAGGCAATGTATAAAATGTAGGAAAACGTTTACAAATTGTATCTGTTAAAGAGTTATAATCAAGATTATAAGAATGTTTCTTCTACAACTGAGCAACAGCAACAAAACCTGATTTTAAAATGGGCAAGGGACTTGAGAAGACATGTTTCTAGAGAAGAAGGGATGATGTATATGAATCAACAAATGTGAAAATATACCAACACTAATCATTGTAAGTCACTAATTAATGTAAGTCAGAATCAATGAAATATCACCACAAACCTATTAAGATAACAAGTGTTGATGAAAATGTAGAGAAATTGGAAATCTCATATCCTGTGGTAGGAATGTAAACTAGTACAACAGCTGTGGAAAATAGTATGGTAGTTCCTAAAAAATTTTTAAAAATAGCGTAGGATTCAGCAATCCCACTTCTAGGTTTATATCTGAAAAACTTGAAAGCAGAGTCTTAAGGAAATATTTGCACACTATGTTTATTGTAGCACTGTTCATAATAGCCAAGAGATGAAAGACAACACAAATGCCATCAGTGGGTAAAGAAAATATGGCATGTACACACAACAGAATATTGCTCAGTCTTTAAAAGGAAGGAAATTCTATCATGCGCTATCACATGGATAAAGCTGTAGAATATTATACTCAAACAGGCCAGTCACAAAAAGGAAATGCTGTATCATTCCACTTACATGAGGTATCTAAAGTAGTCAGACTCAGAGACATAACAAAATGGTGGTTGCCATGGGCTTTAGGGAGGGGGAATAATTTATTCAGTATGTGCAGCATCAGTTTTGCAAGATGTAACCATTCTAGAAATCTTTTGCACCATAATATGAATATTACTAACAATACTGAACAGTATACTTAAAAATTGTTAAGGTGGTATGTTTTGTGCTTTTTAACCATGATTTTAATTTTTAAAATTTAAAAATAGATGTTGCATATTTTAATATAACTTTACTTTTCAGCTTAAAAATATTTTTCATCTATTTTCCTGTTCTGAAAAAAAAAAGCAAAACATTTTAAGAATGTTAGACCCATTTAAAAAAGGGGTGAGTGACATCAGCAAAATGGAAGAGTAGCAGATCCAACCTCTCGTCTCAACAGAAAACAAAAACAAACAGAAATGGTTAGAACCCAGTTTTCAGAA